CACACACACACACACACACACACACACACACACACACATACACACACATATATATATATACACGTACATACACACACACATATGTGTGTATGGCGTTATACGTGTATATATCCATCCACCAAATCAATCCCGTATCTCTCCCACTCATCCCCCCCCCCTTTCCCATCCGTACGACGAGGCTGACCTCGTTTCCCATTGCTTCCCACAGGTCAGAGATCCAGGTGAGGCCGACGGCGGAAGACAATGGGCGAGCCTTCACCTGCGAGGCGGACAACGGGCTCGGATCCATTCTCAAGACGGACGTTTCTCTCAATGTTTTACGTGAGTTTGTGGAACTGAGTTTGGAGTCTGTGTTTTTATTTATGTTTCTCTCGTTATTTCTTCTTTATTTTCATTTTTTTAAAACATATTCTTCTCTTATTTTTTTGTGTCTTATAAGCTTGTACAGAAGCATAAGCATATCTCGCTAATGTGTTTATGTTACGTATAAATACGTGCGGATACTTCACAGCGACAAGCAAAGGCATTGTATTGCACAGATTCACGTGAAATCAACATACACAACTCCAGACAAATAACATTAAGTTATTAAATACTAACACTCAAGAACAAGCAAACACTCAACACACACACACACACACACACACACAAACACACACACACACACACTCAAACATACACATACAAACAGACACACACACACACCTCCCAACTCCAAATCCACACACACACACACACACACACACACACACACACACACACACACACACACACACACACACACACACACACACACACACACACACACACACACACACACATATGCAACACCCTCCATAATACACACAAAATACATACAACGCCTTTGCGAAGCACACGACCCTCCCCCCTTTTACACTCACACAACCAAACACACACACAACCCCTCTCCCCCTTTCACACGCATACAACCCCCTCCCCCCTCTTTCACACGCACACAACCCACTTCCTCCTTCTCCCCTTTCACCCCCCTCCTTTCACAGACTTACACACATACACGCATCATTACCCCTCCCCCCTATGAACGCGCTCGATCATTGCAGGAGAAAAATACGGCCACACATCACCCAAATGCAACTCGGTGAGACTGCAACTTAACACGAGGTGTAATTTCCTCTTACTCCATAATTTTTTTCCTTTACGACTGGGAGGAGAGAGAGAGAGAAAAAAAAAAAAAATTGAGAGGGAAGAAAAAAGTAGGAGGAGGAATAAAAGGAAGAGGTTGAGGAGTAAAAAAAAAAAGAAAGAAAACTAGTGGGAAGAAGTGGAGGAGGAGAAGGTGGAAGAGTTGATTAAGGAGGAAGAGTAGGAGGTGGAGGAGGAAAAAATCAGTGGGAAGGAGTAGAGGAGGAAAAAGAGGAGATGACTAAGGAGGAAGAGGAAGAGGTGGAGGAGGAAAAAGAGGAGATGACTAAGGAGGAAGAGGAAGAGGTGGAGGAGGAAAAAGAGGAATTGGTTAAGGAGGAAGAACAGGAGGTGAAGGAGGAGGAAGAGGAGTTGGTTAAAGAGGAACAGGAGAGATGGAGGAGTAAAAATCAGTGGAAATAAGTGGAGGAGGAGGATATGCTGGTAGAGGAGGAGGTAGGGGAGGAGGACAAGGAGGAGGAAGAAGAGGGAGAGGATGAGCTGAAGGATAAAGTGTAAGATATGGAGGAGGAGTAGGAAGAGGAAGACGGTATGATGAAGGAGTAGGAGAAGCAAAAAAAGGATTAGAGGGAGATGGAGGACAAGAAGGAGGTGGAAAAAAGAAGGAGAGGATGAGTTAAAAGAGAAAGAAGGAAGAGGATGAGAATAAGGAAGAGGGAGAAGATTAGATAAGGGTAATAAGACTGAGTGAGAAGGAGGAAGGAGAGGAGATATAGGAAGAAGCAGAGATAAGATAAAGGAATAGACGAATAGGATAGAGGAGTTAGGAAAGGAAGGAAGAAAAGAGGAATTGGAAAGAGAGGAGAAAAGCTGAAGAAAGGAGGAAGTAGAAAGGAAGGCAGCAAGAGGTAGAAAAACAGAAAAAGGATAAAAAGAAATTAGAACAGGAAAAGGGAGAGGACTAGGAGAAAAGAGAAAAAGAAAAGACGAACGTGAAAAAAAAACAAAAAACAAATCGACAAATAGTTAAAGAGAAACTTCTTGAAATTACGAAACACGAGTGAATTAAAAATGAGAAGAAGCGAAAACAAATAGAAAACAAGCCAGCAAGAAGGAAAGAGAGAGATAGAGAAAAAAAATCAACGAGAAAAAAAAAAAACACACACACATGCATGATAAATTGTGATGATAATATATGTTGCACAGGGGAACGCATGTTTACCGAAGTATGACGCACACTTGTCAGCGCAGTAAGTGTGATGTAAATATGAGGAGCGCGGCGTGGTGTAGGCAGGTCTGATTTAATGCCGGTGGTTATTTTTTCCTGTGTGCAAGAATGCGGTCTAAACATGAACTTCGAAAATGGAAAGAATACGTTATGTTGCGGCGGAGGCATACTGAGTATTTACAAAATCATGTGTACAGATGTACAAACTCACATACAAATTCATACGTGCATGTACCTACACGCATTTGCGCATAAACATACAAATACACACCCAGACACACACACAGACATATATATATATACATATATATGTGTATATATGTACATATATATATATATATATATATATATATATATATATATATATATATATATATATATATATATATACATATATATATATATATATATATATATATATATATATATATATATATATATATATATATATATATATATATATATATATGTATGTATATATATATATATATATATACATATATATGTGTGTGTGTGTGTGTGTGTGTGTGTGTGTGTGTATGTGTGTGTGTGTGTGTGTGTATGTGTGTGTGTGTGTGTGTGTGTGTGATAGATAATAATAATAATTATTATTATTATCATAATTTTTATTACTATATTACTTTATGATAATGATAGCAAAAACAACAACAAAAGAAACTGTACTACTAATAATAATGCAATAACAATAAAGATAATAACAGTAATGATTAAAGTTATAAGATTAATGACAACAGTAATTCTAAAAGGCTGCAAAAACCTATAAAAGACATATGTAAGAAACTTATTAATAAAAAAAGAAGTGAACACACTCAGAGACGCACACAGATGAATAAATCACAAGAGGCAAGACAAGGCTGATGAGCTGAGAAAAGGAATTCGATGCGGTTAATTTAGGTTACATAATTATGTAATATTTTTTCACCCCTCTTTTGCGCAAGAATTTATACACATGGTCACACAAGACAACGAGAAGATGTACGTTTAAGAATGTGCACACACACACACACACACACACACACACACATGACCGCACAAATGCACAAGACAGAGGGGAGAATGGACAGTTGAATTAAGATTGATTGTGCGTAGGTGAGAACTTTGTGCGTGGTAATGAGGTTACGTCTGTTTAACGAGGAGACAAGGTATAGTATTGCATTATAAAGAAGTATTCAAATGGTGCAGTCACTGGCTGAGAAAAGGAAAACTTATTATGATATGGTTGAGATGTGTGTGTATGTGTTAGGAAATAAAACACACACATACACACACATCGCAATATATGTGTGTGTGTGTATGAGAGTGTGTGAGTGTGTGTGTGTGTGTGCCTACATCTCTATACGTATATTACCCTAACACCCCAAGCGCATGCGAAACATAATAAACACACACTCTAGCTAAAACAGAGAACTATCCCTCGACACACCCACGAGCAAGGGCTGTCGACTCGGCCATCTCAGAGAAGCGCTTGGATGTCAGAAGTCGTGCGAAGTTTGGGAATAGCTAATCGTGCTCTTCAATTTCTTAGTGTGGACCTCGCCGCTTTGACAAATACGTCGGGGAAACCGCTGGAAGTTATTCGGGGAAGAAGGAGGAAGAGGAGGTAGAGGGATAGAAGAAGAATGGGAGAGGGAGTTGGGATAGGAAGGATGGAAATGAGAAGAAGAGAAGTGGGATAGATGGAGGAGAAGAGAGAGAGGGAGGTAGGGATGGAAATGGAAAAAAAAGAAAGTAGGAATGAGGGGAGAAGAAAAGAGAAAGGAAAAAAAAACGAAAAAAAGGAAAGGGATGAAGAGAAAAGAGGATGAGGGAGAGGGGAAAGAAGAACAAAAGGTATGAAGGGGAAGGGAAAAGATGAGGAAAAAAACAAGAAGAACGAGAAGGAAAGAGAAGAGGAAGGAGAAAGAAATACTAGAATAAAAAAGTAAAGAATTGAAAATAAAAGGAAAGAGGAAGAAGGTGGATGAGAAAGAAGGAAAGGAAGTAAGAAGGAGGGGAAAGAAGAGTTAAGAGGAAAACTTAAGAAGAAAGAGAAAAAGAAGAAAGGAGATTGGAGAGAAGAGGAAAAAGGAATTTGGAAGGGAAAGAGGAGGGAGGCAGTAAGGGGAGAATATGAAGGGGAAGCTAAATAAGAAGAAAAGGGAAAAGAAGAGGTAAGATGAAGAATGGGGAGAAGAAGGAAATCGAAAGAGAAATAGGAAAACAAAGAGAAAAGAGAGAGAAAAAAAAGAAAAGGCGAAAAGCGAAAAAGAAGAATCTAAAGAAAGTAAAGTTTGATGACGTTCTTGTCAGGCATTCACACCCCCTTCATAAAGAGATGTCATTTAGTTTCAGAATAATGTGGGAGTGAAGTTTTCTCGTTTGAAAAGGAGGATATTTTCCCTCGCGAGAATGACTCTGACAAACGTAGGATGTATATGATATTCACTTTGCTAATGGAAAGACGAATTACTCTCGGGAAACCTAATTGCTACTGCACGTGTGTGTGAATGATGTTATATATTTAAGCATGTTATCTCTTGACGTACTATTCTCATCAAAACACTGGGGCGTCTCTATCATCGTTAGTACAAAGTTATACTAATAGTAACGTCACTTAAATTGATGATGATGATGATGCTGATAATAATAACGACAATAATAGTATGAATGGTAGTAGAAATGATAACAGTAATATTATAATAATAAAAGTAGTAATGATATTAATGACGGTAATGAAAATACTATAACATTACTAATAACACTGTTATTGACGATGATGATAATCGTGATAATATGAATATTCGGGGAATAAGGATAACGGGAATAATAATGATAATTCCTTATTTTTGAAGAATTGAAAGCGCTTTCCATCAAAACAGTGTGCAAATATAGAACTTGTTTGCCCGAAGTTCTAGTTAGATCTCCCGATTAAAACGCTTGAGTGAAGAGAGAGAGAGGGAGGTAGGGA